TAAACTGTTCGAGCTAGCGACCACAGTCGTTCGTAAGCCAAAAAGGATGAAAAAACGCTCGCTTCGATTCAGTGGATTATGTTTGGCCGCTTCGGAAAAAAGCCGCAATCGCTGTCCCCGATTTCAAAGTACGGATTGGTGAGAGCTCCGGTGTCACGTTACGACTGAGCGACGAGTACGCATACAACCCACACACACACACACACAACGACAAAACAAAAACGCAACAACGCAGAAGCGTAAAAACACCAGGACGGAATCATTTCCGTGGACGTATTGGCTTACAAATGCATGTATCGTCTTGTTCCACCAGACTGATGTAATCGACTGCAAACGTAAAGCATCTATTTACCTATGATCAACCTGGTATTTTCGTCATCGCGATAAACGACATGAGTTGAAACAGACCCCAAGACTGGATGGAAATGTCACATAGTTAGAAGTCGATAGTCAACTATACACTGTCCTATTCATCAGTCAGTTGCTCATATTTTCGTTCCTATTTGTTTTGCGAACGCCCTGCTTTACTTTAGTTATTCTATCCCGGGATCCGAGCACATATCAAGATCTGGACCATGTCCTTGTAATCCCCGCATCCTAGACTATACGCGGTCAGTCCCGGTCCAAAATGGACTAATTTATTCGAGGCGGAAAAGTGTTTTTCCCTCGGCAAGCTGTAAAAAACAACCATCAGTATACAGTGGAACCCTTCCACAATGACATCAAACCAGGTCGGCTGCTTCTGCATACAACGTATACATTCATCCTCTGTTTTTTGGAGGGAAACAGCGCACCTACTTGACTTATCTCACATCGAACGGTTTTCCCCCTGTTCGTCACTGTTGAACACAAATACTGTTTACAGCCCCCACACCATGTTTAGCTAGAAGTTCAGTTTAGAACACAACCTATGCACGCCTTACTTGCAAGCCATTGTGAGTTGGGAGAATCCTTAAGAGTTTCTTCGATCTTGACACAGGTCAATGGACCAAGCAACCTAGCTTTCAAAGGCCATCATTCTGTCCTTTTTGACGATTTAGTCGTTAGTCTGTTGCCTTTTTTGTCTCCATTGTTTTAAAACAAGCGTCAGGCCTACCAAGAAGAGGTAGTCTTTCTCGGACGGAACAACCCTGATTCATTCGGTGAGAGGAGAAATTTCCTGGTTTAGTGCTCGAAGACATCACACCAGTATTATACCACAAGTTGGCCAAATGATGTGAATGAAGGAAGCTACTCACAAGGTTGCTGAAAACTCTTCGACAGCCCACGACGGTTTCACGACGGTATTTCTCGATGTGAATGAAGTTCAGCCCTGGAATGACAGTAACTCGTCTTATCGTGACTTGTTTTGACCAATTAGAATTCATTTCTCTTCGCTTCGTCTTAGGCTGGGTCTCGAGTGAAATGTTGTTCTCAAATACTCGTTAGCTGCAAGTTTTTCTGTTTAAGTGTTATTCTGCGATCTCTGTAAGTGGAAATTCTCCTGGCAAGGAAAACCCCCGCTGTGAAAAATTTGACTTGCACAGTTCTTTTCCTTTGAAGTCCTTCTTACAGCCAGAGGGTGGTTTATCCGCAGTGAAAATCACCAAAGTCGTTTCCTTTTTCGGCATGTCGAAAATTAGGCTCCTTGCAGACAGGGAGCATTGCAACAGGACTGGTACGCCGTAGATGAGCCTTTCTATAATACAAGTTGCGTTATTCGAACCACGTGGGATTCCTTCACTTTCCCCGGAGATTTCACCTGCACCGCTCGTTGGGTCCATTAATATACTGATTAGGTTCTCGGGGTTGAAATAAAACATCTGCGCTGATTTCTCATGGATAATGCAACCAAGGTGCGTGAAATACTGTTAGAACCATTCTGGACAAGTTTTAAAACAGAAAACAATTCAGCAGATAAAGGAATTGTTACTACTGTCAACTAAAGCCCACTTACTATGTGCTCTCATTTGAAGAGCATGAGTAAAGTCGAAATCAGCCCACATGATGAGTGCTGCCAGGCTCTAGAGCATACAGCAATCACGAAGTCAAGGTGATTGGTAATCACATAATCCCTACGTGAGAAACACCTGGCGTGCATGTTCGTTTCATCCAGATGGGCTTCTGCTACTAGTACTCTACAAGAAACTGTACTTCAAAATCTAATAAAGCGCAATCTGAGGGGGAATTAGTCGACTCCATCATCCATAGGTTGCATTACACCACACCTATACGGAACCGACTTCCTCAAAGAGGTGGTGAAGGAAGCGTTCAGCTATAGTACCTTTTCAACGCCAAGCTTCTATAACATCCGAAGGAAACACGAGATCTGGGATGCTACCAGGTTGCCCAGACAGCGGAAGTTGAGATGCCGAGGTCGGGTTCGAACCACGGACCTCCTAGTCAGTAAGTTCGCACCTCAACCATAAAGCCATCTGGGTGCAAATATCTTTATTGGAGATCTCACAGGGGGAAAGGTCTTTTGTTCAATGCTCCGTTAGCTTATATGTTACCATACGCCTGTGTCAGGATGAAACACTCGTAGTGAGACAGTAATGTACTAGTGAATCAAAGTGGCAATTCTAAAATCCACGTATGAGCTGTCTCAAGGTATGTGCCAACACCTGTGTGGTTAACTGGCGTTTCAGTTAATTCCACCCTATGCTAATTGCATACTATTTGTGGTTTGTAATTACTGTACATTTAGCTAGCTTTTTGCTCGAATTTTCCGCGATTTCCCCTTCTCGATCACCAGGCTCCACGCCAGAGATTTTCCGGAATTCATATAGCCCCACTGTGATTGCCGTAACTCTGCTAGTTTACATTATGCAGCAACCCGAATGGCTTCTCTTTGTAATATAAACCCTGTAGGGTTTTTCGGTTTTGCCCCACCCCCAAAAATCATTTGCGTTTCTCTGTTTGTGCCCTCAATTTTACTGGAGTCCCCACCCCCGCTGCTAGGAGTTACCGGGTTACATCCTATGGAACTAAATACCGCTCTATCCTAATGGTAATGCACAACTGAGTTTTACCGTTTTCAAAGCTAACGGCGATAAAGCTAGTTGCTTGTCAATCGCTATTTGATTGGACCGCCCTTATGGGGAGTATTGTCCTCCAGATTCTCGAACGTGTGGTAAACACCAGGCAGACGCAAAAAGAGAGAAGAAATGTACACTCGAAAGTGCTTCTTGAAGTCCTGAGGACACTCTGAAAACTGACTAGCCGTGGCTAACTCTGATCGGTGCCCCATGGAGGAAATTCTCCCCGAAAAACTCAAATTAACGCCTAGAACAGATTCAACTGTGTCGATTAACCAATTGGCCAGTCACTCTCCGACCAATCAAAACCTATTATTTTTCATTAGGAGATGATTCGTTCACAATAAGTATCCTTCGGCTAGGTGGCGCTCATCTTGGAGGAAGAACCTCATGCAAATAAGTATAAGGACGATCAGTTGCAGTCCAATTTCGGTTTTAGACAGAGTATGAAACAAGTGACTCTACTAACCGAGAAAAGGATAACGAACGGAAGCGACTGCCTAGGAAGAAAATGTAACGCACTGAATGGGAAGGTAAACAGAACTCCACCCCCCCCCCCACGAATGCCTACTCTAGGATAGGGTTGGAGAAAGAAAAGTTGGCCGATCTTTTCCCGATAAGCCCGCCAAAAAATTAACCCAGGCCACCGAAAAAAGATTAGAAAAGCGGGATATGAAATTTGTACTTTTAGTTTTTATTGAAACGGATGAAATTGGGACACGTCGTTGATATTTTGCATGAAAAGGTCCATTTTTCGGTACCTTTGCCTCCAAACGAACTCACACAAGTGGCTGCCAAACTTTTGGACCATCAGTAAATGAGTAGAATTACTGTCCTATTATCCATCCTAGACCGCTCCAGCCAAGTTCCCTTTCAAAGACTGATTTCTTGCCGACACTGTCGGGCATTACACCTCCACCTGTCAGAAACAGTTGAAAGTATCATTTACAAAAAACATATTGCCGTCTTCTTGTCATGAACGAAAGTTGGAAGCGTCAGAAAGTTCATCCAAGGTTTTACGTCCGAACGGAGAAACTCTGCACGAAATGAGCGTGGATCATCAAAAATAGGTCAAGGTTGTGTGCGTGCATTAAATTGGTGCTGGTAAAAAGTGGCGGGGCTTATCTGGAAAAGATCCAATTTGGCAATTTCTGTAGGTACATCACGTTTTCTCTCTAAAAACTGTGAGTTCACCACTACATGAAGATATTCACCAGTCTCATTCGGCCACACAATAGACCAGTTATCGCTTGATCCATGCTACCGAATGGCGGCTGCAGAATAGCGGTCATCAAACTCTTCTTGCTCAGATGTGCCTGACGGACATTTCAGTCTAACTGTCAAGTTAGACTGTCATGACTGAACAACGTCCAATCCAAACTTACTTGGGGGTGGGTGGGAATCCGACCGCTTCAACCCTCGGACAGCTGCGAAACTGATAATTAGTGCCGCAGCTTGGCCGCGCACAACACTCCAAGCACTCCAAGCGGATGCGAAGTCACGCGCAGAATCAACTTCATGTTTTGATCTTTGATGTAAGATTGACCTTTGACCTCGTGAATCAAACTGACTTCATCTTGGTCCTCTTATCTCTCGATAAACTCTGTCTAAGATCAGGTAACTAATATCCAGCCGACACTCCAACATGGTGGCGTTACGGCTTACCGGTTGTCGCTCAGGCCAATAATTTGTCACCAGTAGCATGAATCAAGCCAGTGGACGGTGAGAAATCCACAAGGTGAAAATGTCAACATGATCTCCGAGAGGAAGTAACAAAGGATATACAACATGGGTGAAATGTACATGAGGAATCTTTTCATAAAGGAAACTACTCACAAGGACGCTGAAAACTCTTCGACAGCCCAAGTAGGACATAAGGTTGATGGAAACTCGGGGACTGCGACTCCATGATGAGCCCCAAGAAGGGCGAAGCCGGTCGTGGGCTGTCGAAGAGTTTTCCGCAACCTTGTGGGTAGTTTCCTTCACGAAAATATACTGCGATATCTCGAATATCGTGCCAACTGAAACATGAGGTGGCCTGTGTGCAGCACATTCAGTTGTAGAATATCATAAACGAGAGATTCAGTTGAGTCTCTCGTGAAAACCAAATTGATTTGCAAATGAGTGTATTTCTCGAATACATGAGGAATCACGAGGAATAATATTCTCACGATGGTTACTTCATGGATTGATAAGCGGCTTGGAGTACTGTTTTCCATGCCCAATTCGGAGTGGCGTAAACAGAGAGGTGGCCAACCCATCACCTGGCAGAGGAGTATGAAGGAGATCAAGAAACGCTTGGGTGCTGTCGGTGCTACTCGCCTTCCAGGATGGGGACCGTGTGATCCTCACTGTGCCTGGTTGGAGACACTACAAGATATGGCTGCCAACCGATGTCAGTGGCGTTCTTGTTGTCAGTTTCT